AAAACCGAAAATGATAGTAAAACTGTCATAACACGTAGGATTTTTTGTGTTGTAGTCAAGGGGTGTAGGGGTCAAACCACCACCATTTACTAAAATGACAAAAATAGCTGTACGTGAGGGATTTTTTGAACTCAAATTCGTAAACAGGACACCCCAAATACCCCCACAGAGCTCTTAGCACATCAGTTGCAAAATTTTCCTTCACATTTGTTGAGTAGTGTCAGTCAAATTTGATTAGATTGTACAAATTTACGAGTCGATTGTTATTATTTTTAAACCTACACCTATGCGGTATAACACATAAGTACTAACACAAATTGCCCAACTAAGGATGTCGACCTCAAGAAAACGTCTGTTGAGAATATTATAATTTAGATGATACCAACAATAAAGTGAAAATTACACCATATTTTTTAATACTCTAAGCATGATTAAACATATACGACTTGTTGTAATTATATGATATATAATAGAACATGCAACCCTGCTTATTTTGTGATAAAATAAAAAATACCAAATTTTTACGATGTTTCAAACAAAAGTTAGAAAAATTTAGGAAAAAGACAAAAAAAATCAAAAGGAATTTGTGCATTGAATCATATAGCACACATCAGGTTGCACAATCTTTTCTGAGTTGATGCTGATATGATATTATAACTGATTACAAACTCATCACCTAACGAATATACTATTCACTTGGTTATGTGAAAAGAAATCCCCAAAGTGCGATTATACTTGAAAGCTGCATAGAATTTTCTCACACACTCACGTACACTCATATGCGCATAACACACGTATATATATACACAAATATGTTTATAATAGCGCAGCAAAATTCGCTTGCCACAAATTGGTGGGGGAGTTGTAAAAGCTTTGCGGCAGCGCTACAATTCAGCTGCGCTGCTCGAAGCAGCAGAACTGAAAATCGTGTGATATAAAAACAAGATGCGCAACGCCAAAAGCGTTCAGTTGGCGGCGTGAGATACGCATTTGCGCATCTGTAAAATTAGCAAAATATTCTCAAAAAAGAATTAACGGACATAAAACCTCAAAAAATATAGAATTTTAAAGAAATTACAATAAGAGCGGAAAATTGCAATTTAAATATAAATTTATAGGAAGTAGAAGAATCAAATTAATTTTAAATAATTTTGTATACGCATCTAAACACAAGTTTAAAATTGAATTAGCATAATTGAGTAGCAGCAACAACAAAAAAGCAAGCATACAAGAATCAAAAAGTGTGGAGAGTTCATAAATTGTGTTGTGACAAGAAGAAGGTGCGTGTGATTTCGGCAAAAAGGCGCGTATTAGCGCGATGGTCTAAATACTCAGCCCATGTTACGGTTAATGCACGCCAGCCGCGCATATACATACACACATACATACATATGTGTGCCTCATAATTTTTAGCATATTTTTTGGGTGCGCATTAAGTGTATGAAAATTGAAATATTTTGTAATTTGCATAACAATCGATTGGCGCGGTGACCGGCACAAGGATAACGCTGCACGCAACCGCACAAATTGCCAGCGCTGAACAATAAATAATACAAATTAGAAAAAAATATACATACATATTCAACATATTTATACAAAGCGTAATAAAAATATCAAATAAAACAATTTATTAGCCAATTGTGCTTGTGGCTGCGACAAATGAAGATTCACATGTGGCTTGCGGCACGGCGGCGTTTACCGCACCACGAACGCGCTGTGACATCGAGTGCCTAATGTGTTTGACATTCAAATATTTTTTTTTTTAAATTGTTGCTTTTGTTTTTGTGCTGAATGCTGTTCACATATGTATAAACAGCGATTTATTGTGTGTGGGCTGGAGTGAAAAATGCGCGTGCTTACGTAATTGTGGAAAACTCAATTCAACATAAACTTGATGAAAAACAAATTTTCAAATAAAATTAAAAAATAAAAATAGACACAAAAAATAGAAATACAACAAGTAGGCAGAAAGTAAATAAAACAAACTAAAATAGCAACCAAATAAATAAAAGAAAGAAAAATAGCAACAAAAAACCAAATAAAAACTACAAACAAACAATTCTTCTCATCACTGCTGTGAGTTCTAAGCTGTGCGTTGCATTATTGTTGTGTGCATTACGCCCAATTTTCGATTACATTAGATAGCGCATTACAATTGTTGGTATTTTGTACTTTTTTTCCGCGCCGCATGTGTGATTTTTTGTTGTTGCTGTTCGTCACATACTAGTTAAATTAGTCGCTAAGCTTAAGCATCAAATAACACGCACATCGATTGCCGCTGCCACTGCTACAAGCACACATACAAATATACGTAAACTGTCTATAAATTGAAAATTTTTCGCGCTCAATTCGTCTACACACCGTCGCTGGCGATTTAGTGCAAAAGTATTGTCGTCAGAATGCGGTTGCGTGTTGGTTGTGTTGCTGCATGGCTGTTATTGGCCTACTGCAGTGTGACAGGTGTTGTGCGTGTTGCAGCACATGGATACACCACCAGCGGCAGTGGTGGCAGCACCATCATAATTGTCGAGGATGCAAAAGGTAGGGGATTAAAGGAGTAAAACAAAAAAATTCAATTTGTATAAATTCTCACAGAGAAGCAGAGAGGCTCTAAAATTGTTTTAAAACAAGAAAAACGTCCACTTCGGTTGCACTGAAGCTATAATATTCTCGACATATACAAAAGGTTCCTTAAAGAACTTGATTTTTATAAAAACATGTGCGAACATAGCTTCTTTAAGAGCGGAATTGAACCATAAATCAGTCTATTGGTGTTCATTTGATTCTGGCGTCACCTAGCGGATAAAACTAAATACACCTCTCTTCCCCCGAAAAAAAATGGTTATGAATTTAAATAATAGCCATAAATACGATTTTTTTTTCACAGATGTTAATTAACAGAAACCAAAGAGGCTTTAGTTTCTGTTTATTAACATTTGTTAAGTAGATTTTGGGTCTACAATATAAATAAACTCCAAATGTTATACTAAATATTAAATATTCCTGACCAGCCTTTAGAAATATAGATAGTATATGGTGTACAAAACATTTGCATTACCGTTGAAAGTGAAATTTATTACACACAATAATTAAGGGCATTAAGGGCAGTGCTAACTAATGAGTACATTTTTCTTAACTGATTGAAATTTATGGTGTCAACATATCAGTATACATAGAACTGGGTCAAACAATTATTTATAGTTTTAGTAAAATGAGTGAATTTCGGAAAAGTACTTTCAAAAGTACAAATATGTAGTATATGTACATAGGTATATAGACAGGTCAATGACTATGAAAAAAAATCAAATTAGATCAATGAAATCATACAAAATGTTAATAACTTTTCATATATTTTTTAAAATTTGAAGATTTATCTTAGAAAAAACATGAAAATAAAAACAATGTACAATAACATTATTCACAGTATTATCCATCTAAAGCTATAAGTTTTTCTCAACTCTCTGGCCAGAACAAATGGTAATCAAAAGGACAAGGTCTGGACTATAAGGCGGGTTAGGTCAAACTTCTCAGCCGTTTTTTTCCAAATAGTTTTTAAGCGGTCTTGCAACATGAGGCCGAGTGTTTTCATGATTGCAAATTATTGCCTCGTTGATTCTTGTGGTTTGCCAGGCTTTACATATAATTTTTCAAATTCTTGTTATTGAATGTATTTAGCTGCTATTTAAGATTTTGAAATGGCTGCTTGAGTAATCGCAAAAATTTTGAGAGCTTTTCTTGTGTTTAGACACCTCAATGAGAGTAGCAAAAGTGCTAATTGGTACAAACGCATGCAAAAAAGTGTATGGATCTTAATGGAGAATATTTTTAAAACAAGAAAGAAACGAATTTTGTTACAATAATAGCAACAAGTTAATTTTAATGATATAAAACTTTTTCTACAGTAACTGTAAAGCTAAAAAAGTTCTTTTTATTAAATGGTTAGAAAATTGGAGCGTTTTTTACTCTTACATTTCTTTCTTTGTAAAAAAAAACGAATCTTGTTAGGTCAAAAGCATTTGACACAACGGTCATTGTACTTGGAATGGCTTTATAATAGGAGGAATTAAGTAGTGACCTTAAAAATGCGTGTCGAAAAGCGAGTAATTTTTATAATTTTCATATTTCCGCACCGGCGGTTGGTAGCAATACCTTAAAGAAGAATATACATTTTTCTGACTAATGTTGTAAAACAACAATAGCAACAAATTTAAACGCATTCGAGCGGGTGAATATAGAGAAGCCACACTTGGCAAGCAACGGATGCGCGAAAAATAAAAAAATACTTGACTTAGCTGTGCATATATTTACTGTAAGCAAGGCATATCCGCGAAATAACTACAACAACGCTTGCAAAGAGTAATATTTTTCTTTAGTAACTGCGAATTTTCATTTCATCTGAAATAATTTTTGCTTAGTGGAAAAAACGTCTAGTCATGCCTTGTCTATTACACAGCTGTAATCATAAAATACATACCTACAAACATACTCAATTCTATTTAGTTTGGCGCCATAATGTGGATATGTTTGTGTGTAGGAGTGTTTCGTAGCCCAAAATGCGTTGAATAAAAAGGGAAATAATTTAAAGCGTTGTATTGGAAAATCTGCAATTGTTTGGGCTTAACGCTAACTTTGTTGTCAGGTTGTTGTTGCTGTCAGCACACATAGGTGGCATGAACAATCAAATATTTCATGCTAACGTATGACCTTCGCGTTACGCTTGTGACCACCATAGATTAAACGTGTTGTACACGCAAGCGTCATGTTCCAACAGCATCAATAAATTTGTATTCCCCCACCGCATGTAGCGCCAACTTGCCACTAAGAGGATTTTTACAAAAATTTATATGTATAGAATTTCGTACACTCAACTCTTCCTAACATTATTTTTCTCCTCAAATTGCAGCCTGCTTCAGACGCGTCTTGGCCGGCAAACGTATTTCTCCACGCTTTGTACGAAGGACATTCGCCTGCGAACGTGTCGAGGATTGTATGCGTCAGTGCGGCATTGAAAAGCGTTTTATGTGCGAAGGTTTCAACTATCGACTCGATCCGTCCGGTCATGGTCAGGGCGATTGTGAACTTATCGAAATACCTTTGGCGCAAATTGACTTGTATTCAAGTTCGAGTCAACGTGACTCGAATTTGCTGCGACATCCCGATTATGATTACTATGAACGTGATCGTAATGCACCGCCCAGCTGTAGGCGTACGCCATGTCGTGAGTGTTCGAAGGGTGGCACACTCAGTAGTCCACCGTTGTATTTGAAACCAAGCGGTTGGAGTGATAAGCCGCCGTATCGTGAGGAGCATCATTATTTACCTTCACCGCCAAGCGCTAGTGGTTATGGCAGCGATGAACATCGTTATCACCCACCGAGCAGCACTGCCATTGATCACTATCATCCGTCGGGACCACCGCCACCATCTTCATCTATTTCGTATGATCATCGGCCACCACCACCATCATCTTCGTCAGAGTATCACCATTCAAGCGCATTTGAGTACTCCTCACATGATTCATCCTATTTTGAGCACACGCCACCGAGTGGTTATGGTAGTAGCGGCACCGGTTCTGGACCTGTAGATCGTTACGACTACATACGTCCGGAGGAGCATCATCGTTATCGTCCTGACAGACCAGATCGTTGGGAGAGTATACCAAGCAGTGCTGGTTATGATAGCGCACATTATCGTCCCAGACCGGAAAGTGATCGATTTCGTCCACCTTATAGACCAGGCCCTGACTACTCGCCATATCGTCCCGGCTCGCATGAACTAAGCGGTCCATCTGGACCACCAGACTCGTATAGACCGGGGCTACCTCCACCGCCACAACCATCGACACATAATTATTTGGATCGTGATGGACCCCCACCTAGCAGTTACAAAGGTTCTTCAAAATTTGTGCCCTACCTGATAGGCCAGAAGAAAGACTGGGGCAGTTACGGTGGTAGCTATGGTGGCAGCTATAACAAACAATCATCATATTGGGGTTTGAATGAGCATAATCGTCGTAGAGATCCACTCGATTTTAATTACTTTGAGTTAGGTGGTTCAAGACCTGGCTCACAACGCGAACCGAACTCGGTGCTGAGTTATCCTGGTTCCAGTTACGGCGGATTTGGTTCAGAAGGTTTTAGAGATCGTCATGATTACAGACATTCGTGGACAAGGCGACCGGGTCCTGATGGTACGTTGAGTTTCAATACAATTATGAGCACATAAATTATTTGTTTACACTCCATTTACTTTTATAGAATGTTCGGCGAAGATTGGTGAAGGCTTTCGCTTACACAAAACCGCTATAAAACATTCCACCACTGTGCCAACACTTGTGGAGTGTGAACAATTGTGTTCGGGACAGGACGGTTTCATCTGTCACACCTATAGTTACCGTTACAATCAAGCCGGCCGAGATAATTGCATGTTGTGCGATCGACCCATCAATTCTTTGGATTATTACGTAGACATTGAACCTGACCGCGATTATGACATATATTCGATGTCCGATGATTTAGATGTATGTCGAAATCCATCACGCAGCGATGACCCTGGCCACTATGACACAAGACCGGGCACCGCGCTCACAGATCCGCGTAATGCTCGTATGTATTTCAGGGAGTTTATGGTTTTTACATATAAGAAGTTCTATACTTCCTTTCTTCCATAGAGTGTTTCTTCCGTGCCATCGATGCAACACGCTTCTACAAGTCGATTGTCCGCGACTCGTTGACCGTGCGTTCGGTCGGTGAATGCGAAATGGAATGTATTAAATCGGTCAAATTCACTTGTCGCGCCTTTGCCTATCGCTACGGTCAGCAGCGTCATGCCAGCGTCATTGATAACTGTCAACTGAGTGATTGGCCGGTGCGTGACATGGACAAGGGGCGACATCTCATTCAAGATGCGGCCTTCGATGTGTTTGAGCGCGCTAGCTACGGACATGGTTGTGAAATACAACCGATCGTGGATGACAAACATAAGAAATGTTAGTACGACTTTTCCTCTCTCTCTTTCTCTCCGAAGTAATCATAACTAATTTTTTTTAATATTTTTATATTTTTAGCGGTGTGTTATTTGGGTTATGGTTCACCGGCGAAGCTCCTCTCAACAGCTATTAAGAAAGTTATATCCGTACCTTCTGAGCTTGCATGTAAAAAAGAATGTATTCGTTATCGGGAAACCACATCCTTCAAGTGTTACTCCTTCAGTTATGGGTAAGTTTTGGCATAGACTATCAATTGACTCGAAAATTTTGAGAAACTAGTAATGCATTTTTATGACAGCCATTCCTTTGGTAAATTCTTAAATTGCTATTGTGGCTCATGGCTTTTTTCGTCAAAATCTGTTAGCTTAATAATATCCTTTTTTCACTGCTAGCTCTCGTGCCACTTCCTACAACTGTGAACTCTCCGATCTTGATCAAACCGAACTGAAATTGAATGTACATTACACACACACAGATGATCGCGATTATTGGCTCTTTGCTTGGAATCCCTTTGATTGGACTTGTCGTGATAAAGTAAACACAATCGGTGGATCTCGTGTGAATAACGACCGGCGTATGGATATATTCCGTGAACCGGGTAAACTGAAAATTCTAACCTGTTGCACCTCAGTACTAGTGTAAATAACAACTAGTTGCAGTTGTAAGGAATACAAATACATATATAATGAAGAAATAAAATCGATTAAATTACTAAAAAATATACAAAGCGAAATACGAAAAATGTAGCAACTTTCTGTAAAATGGTTTAATTTTGGTAGTGTAAAGCAAACACACAAAAAAGCATTGAGTATGTTATATGGTAATTAAGTAAAATAGCATGTAAAATATAAAGAAAATAATTCCCCGATAGTGTCCTTGTAAGCTAGAAAAATGACTAAAAACAATTAACGATTTGTGTAAATAAGTACTGACCCTAAAACTTAACTCATATTACCCCATTATCTACCTTGCCTATACGTCGCTTGTTTTTGTATACATAAATGTATTATATGTGACACCCTAACCATTTAGTACCAGATTCCAAATAAATATAAATAATATTGCTATTACTTGGTATTGGTCCATCTAACAAAAAATCACCTTCAATACACAATATTGATTTCTCAACAACAAAAAACTTCTTCAACCTTAAACCTTAAACCTTTAGGAGATGTCGCCTGGCGTCATTATACCGTCACCGGTAAGGCGTGTCGCACAAGCAGTCCGTGTGAAAAGAATCTCGTAACTGGTTTCTACTCGTGTGAAATCGAGGGTGGTGAGATTGGCTCGTGGGATTATTGCTGCAAGGCTGAACACCCCTGTGGCTACTCGCAGGGGTTCGATTATCCATGGTTAGTTGCAGAATATAATAATTAAAATGTGCAATAAACTATACATTCGCAAACACTAACTAATTTTACTTCAACCATCAGGTGTTTTGTGGGCGATGAAGCCGATCAGTGGCGCAAATGCAGTGATCGCTATTATCCAGGCAACAAAACGTCAACAGTAACACACTCCAGCTTTAAGTTCGCATCTCTAAAAGGTGACAAGAAGAAGCATACTCTTGACAGCAGCACATCAACCAATGAATATCAAAGACCGCCACGACCCGGTGGCTTGCAGAGTTTGAACGATTTTACCGCCGCGCGCCTATGGCCTGTTACATATCTTTACAGTGAAGGGCCACCTAATTCCACTGAGTTTAGTAATTTTGTCGATTGCAATAAGGAATCATGCTAGCGCAGCGCAAATCAATTGGCTTGCGATCCAAAAAACAAAACTATATATATATTTTAACTTCTAGTTGAGTTAGTTACTTATAGTGTTTGTATTTTTGTACTCAAAAAATAACAATGATAACAAAAACATGATTAAGATAAAAATAAAATGTGATTTGCTAAGAGATTCGAAATTTTGAAATGCCAGTTATTGCATTTTTTCGAAAAAATTTTAGTTACAAAAAGTAAAATAATTTAAATTGCTCCCCGTAGATCTAACCATAGACAATCGGCTAGCACTAAAATGTACTATTAATAATACTAAGTTTAAAACAAGTATTGAAATGTCGCTTCCAATGTAGTTTTGTATTTATTTAACGTAAAATAAAAGTGTATTAATCTCAAATTGGGTGTTAATGTGGATATAAGAACTTATTTAAGCGAAAAGACTTTGCAATGTGCGGGGGAAATAAATATGTAAATAAGTATAAATGCAGCTTATTTATTTTATTTTCAAAAGAAAATTATTAAATCTAAGTAAATAGTCCTGTCTTCATTTTTATACTCTGAACAGGATTTATAACATTTATAAAAAACGTCGGCGACCCTAGACCCCAAAAAGTATATAGATAAATGATCAGCGTGACGAGCTGAGTCGATTTAGCCATAATCGTCTGTCTGTCTGTATATACGCGAACTAGTCTCTCAGTTTTTGAGATATTTATCTAAACGTTTGCACACGGTCTTTTCTCTCCAAGAAGCTGCTCATATATTGGGATTGCCAAACTCCGATATAACTGATTTACAAACTGATCGATCAGAATCAAGACCTTGCATATTAAACTTTTTTACTTGACAAGATATCAACAATCGATGCAGCCGAAACTAACTTTATTTCCTGTTTTCTGTTATTTCAATATGTATACACGAAACGAAAAAAGTCTTAAATAATTACATAACTTCCAAAATATTAAAATAAGACAATACATTTATTAAAACAAATAGTTTATAATAATTGACTGAAACTCACCGGTATGAAGATTTATAAGTCGTTATCTCTCATACTGCATTTACTTGTAAAATGACAAATTTCACATATTTTTTTAATTATCATATTTTTATGATTTTGTTTATTTTTTTTAATTTTTTTTTTAATGTTGTTGCAAGCTGCCTTTATTACATAATTTAACATTTTTCATACACAGATTTTAACCAACAAGCATAAATATGCACAATATGCTTTTTTATATTCACTTCACAAAAACAAATACTCATCACTCACAAGGAACACCAAACTTCGTAAAGATATATATATATATAATGGCACACGCTTATTGGAAACTAATTTCATTGCTACCAATGCACACACGAACACACATTTTTGTATAGCCACTACACATACACGTATACATATTTGATGGGGCTTCTTGTGGGTGCACCAAACTTATTGCTTTTATACTGATTTTAATATGCATTTTATTCATTTGCATTCAAGAGATTGAGATAACTAGGAAATAAACCTTGAGCAATCGAAAACATTGCTTCAATTGAAAAGAACCTCCTCCCCATAGAGCCGGCAGCCACAAACAAAACTGGGCACAAAATTTCATTTCAAAGCGAACACTTTTCACCACTTCAGTTTCACATTTATTAACGAGAATTCACAAATAAATATCTTAAACAAATGAATAAATCATTTTAATTTAACAAAATTAATCACAGCCGACGGAAGATGCACAAAAACGAATAGCGGATATCACGAACTGCTAAAATAACCGCTAGAATGCGCAGTTTGAGAGCCACCAGACGCTATGCTGTCAGTGAGGCCACTATGAATTATCGATAATTTATATGCCGACAAGTATTTCAGAGAAGTGTAAAGATAACTAAACAATGTAGTTTCATAAAAAAATAGTTTTGTTTTTGAAAAATTAACGGAAATTATCCAAAGTTAAGGCACGGGCAGCATAAATACAGACATTCTCATTTCATAAAACTTTGATTATGCTAATTGACACACAGTGCGCATACAGCTGCGCGCTGTTGGATAACCGCAATCAGCTGTTGGCCAGCAATTGAACTGATAAAAGGGAATTCACGTGGGGCACAAGTACATAATTCGCTTATATTCAAATAACAATTACTGCCATATATGTGTACATAAGTAGTAACAACAAGCATGAATAAAAAATTGCTTAGAAATATAGTGGCCTGTGCGACGGCCGCTACTTGTGCCTACTACACGGGTAAATACGTAGAACGCCAACAACTTGAAGCGCCACACACGGTGGAAAGAAAATTTACACAGGATGCACAGCAGAGGGTAAGAAATGCTTTTCTCATACAGTGTAAAATTTATTTTCAATAAAAGTTATCTTTTTTCCCGCTAGTTTGAATGCCGTCCAGCACTACCCATTTTCGGCACCGTTTCCGCTGCAGTGCCCGTGCCTGTAGAGGAAGTGAATCTCACCGCCACACCAGCGCGCATTTCTCAAATCATGAAATACGGTTTTCCCGGCCTCGATCACGTACGTTCCTATTCCGATTTCGTGCTGTCCTATGATCGACGCAATCGTGTGCCACATTGGGTTTTTGAACATCTGACACCTGCATCAGTGGCGCGCAACGACGCGGTCGATCGTTCCAAATGTGATTTTCGTGCCGATGAAAGTATACATCCATTCTTTCGGGCACATAATACCGATTACCGACGTTCAGGCTACGATCGTGGACACATGGCAGCGGCGGGCAATCACCGGCGTCATCAGAAACATTGTGAGGATACGTTTTTTTTGTCGAATATGGCGCCGCAAGTTGGACAGGGTTTCAATCGCGATTCATGGAATCGGCTAGAGATGTACGTGCGAAAATTGACACAAACCTATCCGAATGTGTATGTGTGCACGGGACCATTGTATTTGCCGCGTAAAGAAGACGATGGCAAGACCTATGTGAAATATGAGGTAATCGGCGCTAATACTGTAGCGGTGCCGACGCATTTCTATAAAGTCATTGTTGGTGAAACGGCCGATCAACAGCTGGATATGGAAGCGTATGTAATGCCTAATCAAGTGATCAGCGACGACACGCCGCTGCAAGTGTTTCAAGTGCCGCCAGAAACGGTAGAGCGTGCAGCGGGTCTACTCTTCTTTGACCAAGTGAATCGGAAGCAGCTTAGACGCATTAACGGCAAAAAAGTCTGAACGTCAGCAGGCCTAACGGGTTTTGTGCAATTACAGAGTTGTTGTTGTTAAGTTTTAAAATTGAAGAGAAAATGTTAACCGTTGTTAGCATTTTAAGTTTGAAATGCTCCTTTATATATCAGCGTGGTAGCAAATGTAGTAATTAGTAATACAATAAAAACAAAATACTAGCATATTTAATTTGTTCCTTCTTTT